CCGGAGGAAAAGTGGAAAGACAAAATTCGCAACCTGATTTCAGCGATGCAGATGCAGAGGCTCCGCTGCGGGTCTTTACGACGGCCACGACACTGCAAGTTTTGTGTGAAGTTGGCGCAGTCAGCGAGAACAGCATGCCGGATGAAGAAGACGAGTCATTTTTGAACGATTTGGTTTCCTGCATAATGGATAGTTAGCACCACGTACCGGAAATCAAAGGTAAAAGTAACAAATACAAAAAAGTCTTTGAACAAGGTGCTTCAAGAGATCTGACGGACCTGCATCCTCAAAGAGCTGAGAAACTTATTCAGAATTAAAGAATACTCCACCTTGGGGATCTTAATTAAACTGATAAGTAGGTACGTGGACAAGCATCGGAAACCGCCTTTCCAAAGGTGGGTGGCAAGGAAAAACATTTTATTATTAAAAAATGGGATTTTCTTTATGAATGCTAAGGACGTTTTATGTTTTGTTGTTTTTAGAACAATCATAAAATTCAGTTTGTATTAGTTTTGGTCAAAGCTTGAAAGAGCCACTGCAGAGGGACCAAAGAGCCTGCATGTGGCTCCAGAGCCGCAGGTTGCAGACCCATGCTTTAGTTCATGCAACAGCTGTTTTCACATCACCTTTTGAATGCAATGCATGCTTCATCCAGGACTGTTTCACATTTCAACAGATGGCACAAACAGATATGAGTATCAGTAAAACCTATACTAAGTTTCACTTACTTTTTCTGGGTTTTTTAGTGCACCAAACCGGCATTTTTTGCTTTGCCCTGTGTGTAACAAGTCACAGGCATCTCTATCAGTCCACCTGAGAAGAGTCTGCATGAAACAGGTGGATGGCGAGGTCATCATTGTTGCTTTGAAAAAAGCTAAGGAGGAGGCCCATAGCACAAGCATTGGAAACCGCCTTTCCAAAGGTGGGAGGCAAGAAAAAAACATTTTATTATTAAAAAATGGGATTTTCTTTATGAATGCTAAGGACATTTTTCTGGGTGGGTTTTCACGTTCCCCCTCCTAAGGAGCATTATGGAGGATTCTCGTCCATTGCACAGGTTTGGGGATGACCTTGTCAGCCATTTTCAATTGTCAGTCCTCTTTCTTGATATCTGATTTGTATAGCAAGACGCTAACACATTTTTTTTTTTAATATTAGAATGATTCAGGAACTGCAGAAGCGGCACATGGTTGCAGCTGAAATTCCTCACAATTTTTGAAGAATTTCAGCTGCAACCACGTGCCACTGGTGACGAGTCCTCGCAGCTAGCTTCAGTAGATGAAGAAAGTGCACATTCTGGAGCAGTAGAAAGCTGCCAGTGAAGGTGTCAGTAAATCATAAACTAGTGGCAGGTGTCACAGCAGCAGCAGCGTGGCAGCTGCCAGTGAAGCCAGATGCAGCGTGACATCTGCCACCGTAAGTGCCACTAAGACTGCCACTGCCTCGATCTGAGCTTGCTTTCTCTCTGTATTTGGGATTGACTTTTTTTGTAAAAGAACCATCAATCAGTTAATTGTTAGGCTGATGGTCTTCCTTTTTACATGTGAACAGCTAGTTCTGAATGTCAGTATCCATCCATCCGACCGACCGACCGACCGAGTTTGTTTGGATAAAAGAGGAAACGTTTCAACAAGAAGAATCTGTCCAGAGGACCTGACTTACCCTTGTTAAATGTATCTCTTTTTCTTCTTGGCTTCAACAAAAATTGTTGATAGATGCAGACAGGAAACAGTACAAATATTTTAATTATATTTGTGAATCTTCATTCCCATCAAATAAGTCATTTTGGCTCTTACTTATTTGTGATATGTACAATTTTTGCAAGAGATTTTATGGAAGGCGGCATGGTGACTCAGTTGATAGAGCATGTTCTCTCTGTGCATGTGTGGGTTTTCTCCGGGTACTCCAGTTTCCTCCCACAGACCAAAAACATGCATGTTAGACTGACTGGTAACTCTAAACTGTCTCTAGGTGTGAGTGAGAAAGTTTGTCTCTATGTGTCCCTGGGATGGACTGGAGACCTGTCCAGGTTGGACACCAGTGGCCCCAGATAATTAATTAATTAATTGATGGATGGATTCATTCATTTGTTCACTCATTTATTCATTTATGGAAACAAAATAAACAAGATGGTACACAAAGAAACACACAACTCCATAACCTGATGCTCACAGTTGGTTTCCTTTTCAAACAAAATGTTAAACACGCACCAGTCAATGATTTTCTCATTCATTTTAATTGGATTCTAAATTTTCTAAGTCCCATAATAACATTGTCTTTTACAACATTCTGATAAACCAGCCAAACAAGAAGGCACCAAAGAAAAGCTCAAAGGGACTAGCTACACCACAACTCTCATGGTCTCATTTGTTGTTTCTCTCTCTGGTTGTTTACACTTTGAGGTTCATAAATTTGTCACGTCATTGTTTGACTCCGTCCAGTACCAGCGAGTGCTGTAGCTCAGAGATGAACTCTTGCCTTTAGCTGCCGAGTTGTTCTGAGGAAATGTCCAAGTCTCCTCAGTTTGCTGCTCTTCGCTCTTCTTCTCTGAAACTTGAGTCAAACCAGTTTCCACTTTCAGTGGTTTCCTCAGTGTGCTACATCTGAGCAGAGCTTTTCTGATGATCTCAGCTCCACTCTTGATGTTCCCCAGCCGTGCTGGATCTGGCATTTGTTTTAGCGATGCCGCTACATCGGCGCTAACTGGACTATCGGCAGCAGAAACCAACGTCTCACCTTGACGTTCATGAGCTGAATGGCTGAAACTGGAGCTGAAGAGACTTGAAGGTTCTGGTGACTCGAAGTGACTTGAATCATCAGGGTTGGCACCTAGCTGTTTTTGATCCACTGGTTTTTCCCTCATGCCTTCAGTGAAGGCTGAACCTAGGCTTTCTCTGTGGATCAAAGGAAGAATCAGACGTTCAACCACAAGTGGAGAACAAGCTTTCAAACACAAACATGTCAAATACTGTGAAAGTCAGTGGACTAGATCCAGAGGCAGAACAGTAACCACATTACGTTTTTAATCACAGTCATACCACAGAAATCCAAGACTTAATCAGGTCAGTCCAAAAATGTGATAGGTTGAAAACGTGCCCTTTATTTTGTCTTCCTGGAGCAGTTTAACAATGTGTTTTTAAAAACTATAAACAGTTTTACTCACCTTATAAATAAAATAAAAATATTTGGTTTCACTGCGGACAATATAAAATGAGTGGTAGATTTGATTATTGGACTAACAGATTTTTTTTTTGGTAGATAAATTTGGCATATTAAAAAGATCTACCATACCTGTAAATACTTAATTTACTGCTAAATAAAATTAGCAGCGGCTACAGTCATTTCTCTGTAGTCCACAGTTTCATTGGTTAGAATGACCTTCTGTGTGTTATTTTGGGTGTACATGAAGGTGAGATAAGTCTCTTATGTTGGGACTGTAAGGCAATAGTTGTGTTTTGTAAATGGTAAATGGACTGTACTTGTATAGCACTTTTCTATCTAGTCAAGATACTCGAAGCTCTTTACAACACAATCTGTGTCCTCTTTTACCTCCACACATTCATATAGCACTTTACTAGATCTCTACAAATATAATCTGAATCTAGAGACTAATCAGAGCTCACATTCATTAGATACGTTAGATCACATTCATACACTGATGAGACACACATCAGAGACAATGACGGGTTCAATATCTTGCTCAGGGACACTTCAGCATGTGACTGCTGGTGGAATCGAACCCCCAACACTCCCGTTGGAGGACGACTGCTCTAACCACTGTCTCTGCACTGTCACAGCATTGTCTCTGCTCTCCTGCACCGCAAATACAAAGGTCACCACCCTGACTTCATTAACTTACTGTACGTATACTAGAACAAAGGTTAAAAAAAGGTTTAAAAGCTCAATCATCTAGGCGAACAAATCACAACAAATGGTTAAATCATATCATCTGGACAGTTTCTTTTAGGGAGAAACGTTTCGTCTTTCATCCATACGACTTTGTCAGTCTGAGGCCTACCTACAAGATCTGTCTTATAAATAGCACCTCCTTGATGGGTTTCAAGCCAACCTGCTGTGGAATTCCCCGAAACTGGCTTTACATGTTCAACAAGGAGGCCATCCATCCAAACAATCACTCATTGTGCATAACAGTCAAATAAGTTCATGCTCTGTAATCCAGGTATAAAATCCAACAATGTCCAGTCAGGTCATCTGGGCGTTTTCTTTACAGTCAGTAATAATAACGATCAAATGTTCTAGGCATGATGGCCAACTTGCTACTCACAGAAACAGCCTGAGGACACCTGGCCAAAATGCTTCAGAAAAAATGTTTAAAAACTCTAGAACAGTTAGTCCCTCGCTACTTCCAGGTTCGACTTTCGCAGACTCGCTTTTTTGCGATTTTTCAACAATTGTCAACTTTAATATTACTCGTGTGATTGGGACGGTATGGAATAAAAAGTAAATGAAAAAAATACTTTGGACAGGTGCCGCCATTTTGTAGTTTTCTTTCAATAAGCCTACACTGTATCGCCAGTCAAAAAAAAACTACCCAGAATTCAACAGTGCTTCCAGCCGCTGCTTTCTGTCGAAACAGAGAGAAAGTTTTGATCTGATCCAAACCTGACTAAAAGTTTGGTCCTTATTCATAGTGACTTTGGCGCTCAGTGGATGCAGAGAGCCATATGGAACCAACTGGGAATTGGACCAGGACTACTTCCAGCCTCATCAGTCAATCTGAGTGCTGCTTGCCAGCAGAGATGTCAGTAACACGACATCGGACTACTTTTTTCAGTTACTAACTAGTAATCTAATGCATTGCTATGTCAAAATCCAGTAATCTGATTAAAGTTACTTATCCAAATTACTGTGCTTTACTGTTTTTGTAATTTTCTCTAGTAATTTAATTTTATTTCCTCTACGCGTCTCTGGGTCGGGGAGTGACGTCAGGTCTATGCAACAATTCAGTCACGTTATCATCCAACCATCACCTGTGGTACCTGACACCATGCGCGACAGAAACGTAAACAATGGAGCGAGGAGGAAGATACACATTTTGTAGCTGGAAATACAGGAACTTGTCAGGTTTTGTTTCGTGGCAGATCAAGACAGAAGAACCCAATTGCGCAGGCAGAACTCAGGAGGCAAATGTATAAAATAAAAATGCTTTTAATAATAACAATAATAAATCAAAAAGGCTGACATGGCAGCAAAACTTACATGGCCTCAAGAAACACGATCACAGGCAGGACAAGACAGGACATACCCAACGACGAACCGACAATGACAGAACTGACAGACAGACTTTATATACACACAACCAAGACATGACACAGGTGACGATAATCAAAACAATCAATTCAGACACAAGGGAGAACAGACAGGGGGAAGGCCCACTAGATGGTGCCATCCTGACAGAACTATTTTGAGTTTCTGTCATTGAAGGATGACAATATGAAGGTTCGTTGTTCCCTCTGTGCTGGAGAGAACGTGCTGTCTGACTTCAAATACACCACATTAAATCTGAAGAAACATTTGGAGTCACAGCACGGGCAGTGAAACTGATGAAGCAAGCCCCGCCAGGTGGTTCAAAGCAGAGAGCTGCGACAGGAGGTCCCCCACCCAAACAACAAAAACTTAGTAGAAGAAATGCTGCCCTTCAACACGGATGACTCGCCTTCGTTTTGTGCTATAATTAACTGAATCCCCACCACTGTAAATGCTGCGCTGCCTCACAGAGGAGCTTTTTCTGTGTATCTGGAGAAGGAGTATGCAGAGATGGAGAGAAATCTGAAGGCTGCACTGAATGATGATTATATCAACTACCGTGGATATTTGGGCTGCTAATACCAGTAACAGAAGCTATGGGAGTAACGCTCCAGTGGATCCATAGATCCACATTAGAGTGCAACAAGGCTGCATTTTTCAGCCTGTCATGGAGTCTGATGATGAGATGGAGGAAGAAAAGTCCACCTGCACAGATGATGATGTCACTTTTTTGGACATGTCAGAAATCCTCTCAGCTGAGAATGACGGTGATGGCCAACTGTCTCTAACCCCGCACCACAGGTGTGTAGTGAACTTGACCTGATGTCAAATCAATGACCTTAGGATCACATGGTCAGAAACTGTCATTTCATTGATCTGCATCCAGAAATACAGTTTGACCCATCCTGAGACTTTCCTTCTTGAATTAATCAAGTGGAAAAGACAATTCTCTATGATCATTACTATTTTACAAATGTTTGATAATCAAATTGTGTTAGTTCAAACAATGTTTACATGTTGAAGTGAACTACTCATTTTTATTTACTTAAACAGTAGTAATGATTTTTATTCCTCATTCAAAGAAGAAATCAGGGTAATATGCATTTCTTGATTTTTCTGTCTTCAATGAGCAAATTTGTAAGTGTGTTAAAGTTCGAGCTTCGGTCAACTAAAAAGTTTACTGAAAATAAATGTCATGTTTAACTTTGACAGCAAGATACAGGAGAGGTGGCACCACGAAGTCTGGTTTTTCCATGATATCTTTCTGTCTGTTCTTAAACAATCCTTGACTTTCCATAACACCTTACATCACAAACCACACCTCTGTTCTGGTCCATCCACGAATCAGAAAGCTCTCAAATGAACCGGAAGTATAGCTCGTTTAAATGTGGCAACTTCCCAGTTCAACAGTAGAGTTGAGGATGGAAGAGTTTTGAGAGTTTTGAGAGTTTTGAGAGTTCCAGAGTTCGAAGAGTTTTGATGAGTTCAAGAGTTGTGGAATCCAGAATGCAGGGAGTTTGGGAGTCCGTGAATGCAATGCAGGCATTCATGGATGCTACTAGACCAAACAAGCTGATCCAGAGACGATTTTGGGAATTATAACTTCGGTTTGGATAACCTCGCACGACTCTCGAGGTATTTTAGCTGTTCTCAACGGAGACGCTGAAAGTGGCTGGAAGTAGGACTTCACGCCGACCTGATCTATCTTCAGAAAGGTAAAAGTCGACCTTCACCCAAAAGTGTACTGTTTGGGACAAGCTGATTTCCAAAGAGCGTGCTGTTCTGGTTAAAACAGATAAATTCTCTCACACATCTCTCTGTAAGATAAATCTTCATTTTTCCATCTTTAAACTCTCCTTTCTCCTAAAATCATTACAGATATTTTTAGAAATGTCTGAAGCAAAGTTTCTCAATCACCGCCGTGCGAATTGATGTCTGCTGTTCTGTTGAAAAGTGAAAACAGTCGCCGTATTGTTCTCACTTCCTGTAAAACTAGCCATGTTGTTATTTTCATATTCTGCCAAATTAATGTAAATGTTTGATGTTAATCTTTGATTCTGTAAAATAAATGACCGCATTCATTTTGATGGGTCAAAGATAAATAACGTCTCACGTCCACATTTTTGTTAAATTCAACGCACGCATGTTACACAGTCCAGAAAAATGAAGAACCCGTTTTAATTGATGAATATATCTCCGCATCTTTTCATCTACAGGTGTGCTGCACGCACCATCAACATAATTTCCACAAGTGATGTAAAGAAATATTTAACTTCTAATGCAGAGAGCAAGGCTGTTTATAGGAGCAGCACAGCAAAATGCACAGCACTATGGACCAACTCAAGCAGATCTACCCTGCATGAGTACTGTACCGTCATGAAGCCCCTGACTGCAGCTCTGGACATTTTACAAGGTGACCGTCCTTATGGGACTTTACTGCCCACACCTGAAGTTCGGATGCAGAAGAGCCTGGCTGTGAAAGATTCACTCTCCAGGATGACTGCAGGCCTTCCAGATGCTACAGGTATGTTATATCTGTAAGCTAGTTAAAATTTCTTACATCACACTATTTTTGTACTTTGTACAGTATATTCATTATCATCAGAATCAGAATCAGAATCAGTTTATTATCGCCATGTCAATGAACGAGGTTCACAAACTAGGAATTTGCTTCGACATAAGGTGCGAATAGTAGTAAAGTAAAATAAATTAAAAATAAAGTAATTAAAACAAATACAAATGTCAATAAGAATCCTAAAACAAAAATAAATCCATAACATTGATCCAACATTAGACATGGTTTGCAACTAATTTAATTACATAATAAATAATAGGCCTGGTAGACATATCAAAATATATCAATTATAATTTTCAGGCTATCCAGACTCATTTTGCCGGTGTGCTGGACGACAAAGATGCTCTTCTCACAGCGATCAGTTCTAAATTCAAACTCCGATGGCTGAGACGCAGGCAGGAGGGAGCGAGTAAAAGAGCTTCTGATAGCAGAGTCCCACCACAACTGCTCCTGCACCACAGAGTCCCACCACAAC